ACACGGACACACACCCCTGGGTCCCACACGTGCAGGCACCTGGGGCCACACAGATACACACACCCGGGGCCACACAGATACACACACCTGGGGCCCACACATGCAGGCATCAGGGGCCACAAAGACACACTCAGGGCCCACACACAAGCACACACTTGAGGCCACACAGACGCACACACCCGGGGCCCACATGGACGCACACACCCGGGCCCCCCCCACATGCACACACCCGGGGCCCACACGGACACACACACCCACGGCACAGATGCACACATGCGGGTCCCGCAGAGACACACCACTGACACCCCCACACCTGGCACTCGCCTCCCGGGCCAGGCTGTCCTGCCTAAGCACGCCAGGTGCCACATCTCCAGCTGTGCCTCCCTGGAACGAGGCTCGCCTTCCCTTTGTGCACAGAAGCCCTGCCCGCCACCAGGCCTTCACAAGCCGCTGCCTGCACGCAGGCCCTTCGAGCCACCCCAGGTAGCCTTGCTCACCTCCACTGCCCACACTACGCTCTGGGAAGGCAAGCTGGGAACAGCGATGCTGAGCCCTGCGGAAAGCCTGCTCAGCACCTCTCCTGCCTGCCACAGCCTGGAGCTCCGGCCTCCCTCCGGTGGTCCTCTGGGATTGAAGTCCTATCGCAGTGCACCTGCCAGCTCTCCCACTGCCCGCCTGACCCCCCTCCTCCCCGCCTGGCTCCTCAGCCCCCAGTAACTTCACCAGTGCAGAGCTGAGGCCCAGGGCTAGGCGGCCAGCTGGATAGGGACAGGTGGGAGACAGGGTGACCCCGGTAAATGTTTCCAAGACACTGGGCTGGCCCGAGGCCGGCCTGCCACGAAGGTCACGGGCGGCCGAGTAAGTGGCTCACGCCTGCTCTGAGGCTGGCTCAGGCCCAGGCCTCTGTGGCCATCTGCTTCCGCCTGCCCTCCTTAGGCCTGCCAGCCGAGAGCCCGCCAGCTCTCCCGCCGCCCGCTTGAACCCTCTCCTGCCCGCCTGGCTCCTCAGCCACTCCCCACGGCCCTTGCTCAGCAGGTTCTGTTCCAGGCGACGGAGAAGGGACCGGCAGTGGCCTGGGCAGGCGCAGGGGTCCCAGAACTGCAGGCTCCACTAGGTGGGCTAAGCCGAGACCAGCCTCAACTCACGCCAAGGGGAGGCAGAGCCAGACTGGGCCCCTGCCAGAGACTGGTTCAAGTCAGGCGCCGCTGCCCAGGCCCCTGCACATGCCAGGCCCCTGCCCTGCATGCTCTTCGTGACCTTCAGGTGCCTGGCTCTCCTCTCAGTGTGGAAGTCGCCACCTCACAGAGACCCTCCCTGCACACTGGGTCTGAACCAGCCCTTGGCTCTCTGCTCCATCACCTTCACTTAACCCTCTCCAGGGTACCAGCCGCTGCGCCCACCAGTGGCTTTTCCTGGTTGGTGACACAGTGACTGCCAATTTCCACCCCACGAACCCCTGACTCCCAATCTTCTCCTGAACACTGTATCCACCCTGTGCCCCCTAAGGACTAATTTCTACCCACAGCACCTTCGTCCTGTCACCACCCCAACACCATCTATGGCTCCCACATGCCCACAAAACTAATTCCTGACTCTAACCACAGACTAAGCCGCGAACCCATCATACACTGAATCCTGACCTGGATCATACCCCGAGCCCCGATTCCCATCACACCCTGGTCCCTGAATCCAGCCACACACTAAATGCTGACCCAAATATATTCTGACCCTGGATCTCAGCCATACTCTAAGCCCTGATGCTGGTCACACCCTGAGCCCTGGTCCCAGTCACACCCTGAGCCTTGATCCCAGTCAGGCTGTGAGTGTTGCTCTTGTGCACACACTGAGCCCTGATTCTGGTCACGTGCTGAACCCTGACCCTGGTCACACACTGAGCCCTGATCCTGGCTGCAAATGAACTCTGACCCTGGTCACAACTTTCTAATACAGTCTGAGGCACATCACAGCCGTAATACCACCACCAACTGGCTTTTCAGACTGCTTACTACATGCCAGCCTGTGTCAAGTGCCATAAATACATCACCTAGTTCAGTCCCTACCACGCTGAGGCAGGTGGCATCATCCGCCTGACAGGTGTGACTCAGAGCGTTACTCAACCTTCTGGCCGTCACAGGCCTGCAGCGGCAGGGCTGGCATCTGCACCGACACGCTGGCTCCAGGCCAGCGATGGAGGGGCTCCTGGCTCTCACCTCCCCTCACTCCACCACCCTGCCCAGATCTCATCCCACCCGGGATGCCCACAGACCAGCCTCTACCAGCACCTCAGGCCCTGTCTGGTCTGCAGTCCCAATGCCACAGCCTCTGTCCACTCAGACCAGAGTCCCCATGCCCAATGTGTCCATCCAACCCCAGCCAGGCCGAGCTGGGCAGCACCCCTCTCTCTCCCTGTCCAGCCCAGCTCATCGGGGATGCCTCCCCACTGGCCCGCCGGGTTCACGCTCCTCACTCTTGCTGGGACCCCTGGGCACCCAGGCCCACTGCTCTCCCCTCACCTCCCAGCCTCCCCCCAGTCCACTCTGGCCGCCGGGCTCTGTGCCACTCCTGCCGCCTGTGCCCGCTTCCCCACAGCTTCCTCACCCTGCGGGGGGCTGTGACTCACCCCACAATGCTTGGCTGGTGAACTCCTGCACACCCCTCAGGACCCCACTCCAAACCTCGGCCCCATGCACATCTCCCCACGCCACACTCAGGAGGAGAGGTGGCTGTGGCCATGCACCCAGAGCCCACCCAGAGCCCTCCTCATTTCCCCCGGGCGGCTGCAGACCTGTGTGTGTACACACCCGCCTCCCACATCAGCCCTCAGAGGGACTGGCATGGTGGACAAAGGAACACACCAGTGGCAGGCTGCACAACAGCAGCCTCCCTTCCCTCTCGGGCCCTCCCCCAGCATCCAAGGCCAGCCCTTGCCGGGGAGGGAGAGGTACCATGGAAAGCAGAGGAAGACCCTAAGGGGCTCTGGGGCCAGCGAGCGCCTGCCAGAGACTGCGCCCACCCTGGCTTCTTCCTGGCACTCTGGCTCTCAGCTCACACCCCTGCTGGTGCCCAGAGCCCAAACCGAGCCACAGGTGATCTGACCTTGCAATGGAGCCAATCACCCTCCCATCTCACAGATGAGGACACTGAGGCCCCCGGGGTCCAGGCAGCCTGCCCCCCTCGGTGCCGTGGCTCTGCGGACGCTGGCAGCCCATGTCCCAGTCTCAATGCCCTGTCTGGGAGAGGGGGACAGGGCATGCACCATGCCTGCTGGCATCCTGCCCTGTCAACACCAGTGTGGGTGGGCTGGGCTAACTCTAGAACCCCCCCCCCCCAACCCCCCCCCCCCCCAAGAAAGGTCCAGGACTGTGCATCTGGCTGCCTCCACCCCCGCCTGCCACCCCGCAGAGCAGCCGCTTCCCCCGCTTGTGCACTGCGGCACGTAGGTGGGGGGCTCCTCCTGGAACAGCCCCTCCCCCCTGCCCCTCTATGAACAAGTTCCCTTAGCCAGGCCCACTCCAGAGTTCAGTCTGGTGACCGACTGGGACGCCACCCACCGGGACTGCCCCATTCCTGAGCTCTTTCCGAGTCATCAGTTTCCCTCCTCACAGCCTCCCCTGGGTAGTACAGGTCCTCTCCCTTTCACAGGTGGGGAAACTGAGGCTCAGAGGAGCTTAAGGCAGAGCCAGTCCAGGGTCACAGTGTGTCAGAGACAAGCCTGTGTTTCAACACCCCAACACTGAAGTGCTGCAGGCCTGACACTGGGCTGGGAGGAGGGGCAGACGGGGCACACCCCACCCACCGGGTTCTCTCCTGCCCAGGTCCTCCTCGAGCACCCACAGGAAGAGAAGCACCCAGAGACCAGAGGCTGGGCCCTGTCCTGCCTGGTCCAGCCTCAAAGGGGCCCAGAAAGGCCACGCATCGAAAGCCACAATGTCCATGGCCTTCACACAGAAGGCCACCTCTTCCAGGGAGCCACTGGGATGGCCCTGCTGCCTGCTGCCTGCAGCGCTCTGTCCGCAGAACCAGCAACAAGCAGAGCCTCGCCTGAGGGGACAGCCCAAGCAGGGGTGCACTGGGGTTGGGGGCCAGACACAGACCCCTGCCCAGCCCACTCACCCAAGACCTTGAGCAAGGCTCTCTTTCTCTCTGGGCCTCAGTTTCCCTGCCTGTCAACGGAGGATTTTACTGGCAATGGCCTGGAAGGTTCCATCTGGCTCTGGCACTGTGGGAGACCCCGGCTGACAATATCACCTGCTCCCCCACTCTCTAGACGACACAGCCGGGAGGCTGGAGTGTCCTCTGAGAGGCCAGACTACCTCCTACATGGAACCCGAGGTCCCACGAGGGCCAGGAATGCCACCTCCAACACCCAGGAAGGCCAGGCCCTTCCAAATGCCCCCTCCACCCCTGCTGCCCACCAGGCTTCCACTCGAGGTCTGGGCAGAGGCACGGGGTAAGCACATGGCCCAGGCCCTTTCCTGCTCGGTGGGCTGTCGTGGCCTGGTCCTGGGACCTGGCAAGGGGCTGTGGCCCACCTCAGGCCAGGGTGTGCAGCTTGGCCGGCTGGAAGCAAGACGGCCCACCTGCCCCAGTGGGCTGCGCCCAGCACCCAGGTACCCTGCCAGCGGCTGGCCCTAGATGCCGTAGCCATAGAAACCAGCAGCCTCCACAAAAATCACAGAACAAAAAAGAGGCCCCGAGGTGCTGAGGCTTGTTGGGGGGGGTGGATCTGGGCCAGGGCCCCTGCCTGGGGCCACCGCCACCTCCACGGACCAGGCTCTACTTGGGGTGGGTCGAAGGGCTCTGCCAAGGCGGCAGCTCCTCCTCTTCCCTCTCCCTGGCAGGCGGGAGGACCAGGGGAAGGGGTAGCCCCTCCACCGGCGACGCCTCCCAGCCCCCAGCTCAGGACCCAGTCTCTCCGCAGGCCCAGGCTCCTTCCGAGCTCCCTGAGCTCCCGGGCCTCCAAGGCCAGGGGAGATGGGACCCACCCATCAGTCACTTTCCGGGGGTCCCGGCTCCTCCCAGGCCCGTCCCCAACTCCACGCTGCCGCCCGCTCGGCGCCCACCCACCCTCTCCAGAGGCTCAGGGACCCCGCCGGCCGGGCTAGGCCACGGCGGCTGTGGGGCGCAGCGACCCCTCGGGACAGGACGGGTGCGCCCCCCCGCAGGCCCCGGCAGCCCCGCCCGCGCCCCCGCCCGCGCCCCTCCCGCCGGCCCGGCCGGGGTCTCACCGCGTCGGCGCTGAGCTGGGCTAAGATGGCGAAGGTGGAGAGCCGGTCACAGAGGCAGCGCGTCCGGAGGGCGTCGAGGGGCACCGTGCGGCAGCCGCGCCACGACCAGGGCCCGAGCTGCGGGGGGGCGGAGGAGGAGGAGGGTCTGGGGGCGGGCGGGACACGGGAGGGAGACAGGCGGAGCGTCAGCGGCGGCGGGGACGCGGGCGCTCCGGCCCCCGAGCGGCGGCTCCGCGCCCCGGCCCCGTCCCCGGCCCCGCACCTGCACCCGCGGCCGCGCGCCCGCCCGTTCGCCTGCCGCCGCCAGGCCCCTCGGCCTGGGCGCCCATGCCGCGCTCTGCGCCCGCCGCCGCCGCCGAGAGCCGCGGAGCGCAGCCCGAGGGAGAGCCGGGCGGGGGCGCCGAGCGAGCGGGGGCGGGGCGGGGGGCGAGAGCTGGCCCGGGGCCCGGCAGCCGCCCGCCCGCGCCCCCGCCGCCCCCAGCGCTTCCCGGGCCCGCGCCCCCGCCGCCCCCAGCGCTTCCCGGGCCCGCGCCCCCGGCCCCGCGCGGGAGGGAGGGGCAGGCCCGCAGGGGCGCGTGGGCACACGTGGAGCGGGGAGGGCGGGCGCGAGCCGGGTGTGGCCGGGGGGCGCGGGGCGGGCTCGGAGGGCGGCGAGGGGCCGCTCCGGAGCTGTCTGCCCCGCGGCCCAGGGCGCCGGCCGAGAGCTGGTGACCTTGGGCCCGCTCCATCCCCTACCCCCCACTCCCCCGGGCCTCGTCACCCCTGCTGCCTGCGGCTCATCTCCTGGGACAGACACAGCCTTCCCCGCGGGGAGGCCTGCCGCTGGAAACTTCCCTCTGCGGTCTGACCCAGCCGCCCGCTGTCTACGGGCCGCCGCTGCCCCGGTTTCCATCTAAGCACGCATTTAAGCACAGGACTTGTAACTGTGCACTAGGGACTGACCTGCTCTGCAAACCCCTCCTCCTCCTCTCCACCCCAGCCTCCTCCTGTTCTTCCTCCTCCACCTCCTCCTCCTCTTCCTCCTCCTCCTGCTGCTTTGGAGCCGAATTCCCCCACCTTTCAAGGCAGCCCTCCTGTCCGGAAGCCACCGTGTCCCTCCTTCACAGACCTGGTCCTGAAGCCAGGCCTGCCTTCCTGCCTGCTGGGGCTTGGCTGGCGGAAAGTGCCCAGGGGGTCCTCTCAGGGGCTGAGTCCCCAGCCCCACCCCGGGTCCTGGGCCTGCCGGGTGGAGGAGGGGCTCCAGGCCTCCTGAAGAGATGAGCCCCAAGAGCTTGCGGTGCAGCTGCCTGCGGAGGCCCAGCTGCTGGTCTCCCTCCTACTGTCAGCTGAAAAGCCCTCACACCTCCCTAAGTAGCTGGGTCCAGCCCTTAACCCCGGACTTCGGGAGAAAAGCCCAAGTGGAGGGTCTGCCTATGGTCTACCCTAGAGCCTTCATGCTGCTGTTTCACCCTAGTCCCACCTAGGGATGAGGGTGGCCAGGCGCCTTGCAGTCTTCAGCTCACCTCTTCCATCCCGCCCCCACTGTACCCACCTGGGCTGAGGCTGGGAGCCAGAAGGGGCCTGCCCCGTTGCCCTTTGGGCTGGCGCTCTCTCCAGCCTGTGGTCCCCAGAGGAGCCTGGAGATCCGCCCACACGCAGCCCTGACCCCGCTCAAAAAGCCTGGGCGGGCGAGCAGCCTCTGATCAAACATCTGGCTTTGAACTGTGCCTCGGCTGTGCCCCAGCTCTGTGACCTTGGAAAGCTACCGACACCACCTCTTGCTTCAGTCTCTTCATCTTTAAAATGGGGATGGGGGTGTCAAAAGGGAAGCACTGAGTCCACTCCGGACAGCGCTAAGCCGCACAAGGCAGGGCTCAGAGCACGCGTGGGCGGGTCACCAGCGCCCACGTCTGAGAGCCCAGAGCAGTCTCTACTGAATTGGGGATGTTGCCCAATCTCCTTCAGCAGCAGCACATCCTGAAATTCGGGCCCAGGGGAGAAGGGACATGCTGTGAGTGGCCAGGGAGGCCCCTGAGCATGCCCTTATCGTCTGCTATTATCTCTTGGGTCTTCTCTGCTTCCTAGGGGAGGACCTGCTCCTGTTTTACAGAGAAGGAAACTGCGGCAGAGATCACACACAAGGCAAAGCTGGGAGGAGGCCGGGAAGCCAGCCTCAGGCTCTGCAGGGCTGGCTCTGGGCTGTGTCGCCCTGGGAAGCCCCCTCCCCTTGCAAGTGCAGTGTGATTCCAGGTTCTTATTTCAGGGAACCAGGGTTTAGAAGCCCGAGGCTCACCTATCTCTGGGACCCTTGGAAAAAGGAGGCTGCAGAGGCATGTGGGAGCCCTGGAAGGGACCTGTACCGTCAGGCTCCATGGCTCCAGAGGATGCCTCTGCCTGAGCCTGCTGCCTCTGCCCGTGTGAACCTCACAGGCTCCAAAGGGCAGCCACCCACCACACGTCCCCAGCCACTGGGATGACCGCCAGGGACCCAAGCTGCCCTGCGATTGCCCAGAAGTCACAGACCTTGGGTAGGGACCCCTTCAGCCTCTCCCGGAGCCAAGTGTAGATCCTGGTAACCACAGATAGAATCCAGGGCCCAGGCAGGCTCTGGGGCTACGGAGGGAACAGGAAAGGGGGTGTGGGGTCCCTGGAAAGTCCTGGAGATCCAAGTGACACCCTAGATCCTGTATGCTGGCCAGAGGGTTTTCCAAGGCCTTACTCAGGTGCCCCAGGCACACCCCACTCACCACCTGCCTCCATCCCCCACACTCTCCAGGGCAGAAGCCACTGTCCCCATGCTGCAGAGGAACAGGTGGGACAGAAGCCTGAGACCCACCCCGGGCACAGAACCACTAAGCCCTAGCTGGTGGCCGTGCAGCAAGGGAGGCTCAGGTAACTCCCAGGAAACCTGCATTAGCCGAGCTTATTTCCTGGCTTACGATAGGTCTTAGGTTATCCCTGGCGGTCCCTTGCAGACCTGCAGGTGAAGTAAAAGTTCAGATGTAGGCCCTGGGTGGCAGAGGGACAAGCAGCCAGGCACATAAAAACTGCAGTTCAGGCCCACTGCTGTCTTGCTGTGTGACCTTGGATAATCGCTGCCTCTGTGAGCCTCCATCTCCCACCGAGAGGGCCTGTCCGCATGCCCAGGGGTGGGTGTGCAGCTGTGGTCTATGCCTGCCGGCCTCTGACCAGTCACCAAGACGGCCAGCACAGTACAGGCCAGAGGGCACCCCGAAGAGTCCTGCAGACGGCTTCTCTCCGTGCAGCTGGCACTGGGTTCCAGTCCCAGCTCTGCTTCTCACGGACCAGGCACAGCCCTACCTCAGCCCTCTGTTCTGAGCAGAGGTGCCCAGAACCCAGCTGCCCACCTGCCTGCGGGTTGCTGGGAGGACTTGGAGTGTGCAGGGAGCTGGGCTGGCTAGGGCTGCTGCTGCCAGTGCCAGCTGCACTGGCCAGTCTGCAGGACGCCAGGCCTACAGCTGCTGGCCACTGCCTGGGAGAAGGCTAGCCTGGAAGCCAGCGCCCCAGCCCCAGGGCTCCCACCGTGGGTGCTGATTTGCTTATCAGCCTCTGGGGGCAGGAAGAGAGAGGGGCTGCTGCCCACTCTGCTGAGAGTCAGGCCAGGGCCCACCCCTACTGCCTTAGGCCATGGAGGGCCCAAGGAGGCACGTGCCGGTGGACCGGAGACCCGGCTGGTCAGGCTGGCAGCTCTGGAAGCAGGCAGCACCCTGCCATTCCGTAAGGGCCTGGCTGCTGCAGTGGGGCTCACTGGGACCTGCAGGCCTGCAATGCAGACGCCGGGGCCTCAGCCTCTCTACCTCCTGCAACGTCCTCCTGGCTCTACCGGCCTTGGCAATGTGTGTCAGGGAACAGCCTCCCAACACGCAGCCCAGGGACAGGGACCCTCTCCTCGCCCTTCCACGATAATGGCTTCTTCGCTGTGCTAAGAGCTTTCTGCCAGCTTATTGTTTGATTTCTGCAGGGACCTTTAGGTCAGCTTTGTAGATAAAGAAACCAACGCTCAGAGAGGCAGCGACTGTCCAAAGCCTCACAGCAAGACAGCAGCAGGCCTAGAACCTGCTTTTATCTGCCTGGCTGCATGCCCCTCCCACCCATGGCCTACCTTGACAGAGCTGCAGGTCTGCAAGGGACCGTCAGGGGCAACCTGAGACCCATCGCAAGCTGGGAAATAAACTCTGTCAATGCAGGTTTCCTTGGAGTGACCCAAGCCTCTCTTGCTGTGCTAGACCTCAGCCGAGGACTGGCCTTTAGCAGGACAGATAGGGGTGGGCCCTGACCTGAGACCCTCATGGGCAGCTTAGATGCATGTTGGCTTGGGAAAGGTAGCAAAGCCTCAGACCTCCCTCTTTCAACAAAATCTCTAGGAAGCATTCTCTTGTACCAGATCCTGACTTACAACATTGGGAAGTTCCCTAAGATGTCTGACTAAAATCCTTTCTGCTGCAGGGGTTACTTTTCCCATCTCTGCAGACAGGCAAGTCTTCCCCTTCCCTGGCACACAGCAACTTCCCTGCACGTGGGAGACCTTTTGCCACCTCTCGTCTAAGCAATAGAAACTTGGAATATCTGGGTCACAGAGCGAGGTCCCCTCCTGTGCCCAGGCCTGAGGAATCTGGGTCAGTCACACCTGCTCCCCACCCCCATGGGTCCAGGGTGAGAGCAGGAGCTAGGGCAGTGACACCACCCAAGACCAGCCAAGCAGGGGCCTGGCTAGAGCAGGTCCCCTTCCCGCCCAAGAGGAGTGGGGACCTAGAAGGACCTGGGACCTTCAGATGGGAATCCCAGGGCAGGGCTGTGCCTTCCTGCGAGACAGGGCCCCACGACAAGTCCAGCCACTGCCCATCCTTCTGCAGACCACGAGTGACCATCACCATCGGGACTCTTCCCACTCGGCTCCTGCCCAGGTCGTCAAGGACCTCCATGTCCAGAAACCCAGGGGACAAGTTCCTGTTCCTCCACCTTGGGGTGGCCGGTGCTCAGTCAGCACCCTGTTTGCACAGGTGGCCCTGGGGGCACATTCTGGTGCAGGACAGCTGCACACCAGGGCAGGGCACACAGCCAGGGCACCCGCGAATCAATGAATGGGAAGGGCACGGCCAGCCCGCCGTTGCTCACCTGGAGCCTTGGGTCCCCTCTTCACCTTCCCCACCTCCTCCTGTTAGCTGCCCACCAACAAGACACACCAGCCTTTATCTGAAAATGCTTGGAGAGCCCCACAGTGCCCACCCTCCATGGCCACCACTCATGCCCCCAGCTACTGCAGCCACCGCCCCTTGCCCTGCTCCACTGGCCTCCCAGGGCATCGGTCACTTGAAATATGTCAGGCCACGTGGCCCAGCTTAGTGCCCTGCAGCGGTTCCCTCTTTACTCACAGCAAAGGCCACAGTGCTCCCACAGCGCGCAGGGACTGGCCTCAACCTCCCGACTCACCCCTTTGCCACAGTCCTGTCAGGAACCCCAGCTCCCAGCAGCCCCCTCCAAACCAGTGATGGCTGCAGCTCCCCGGCAGCCCCCAGCCCAGGGTGGATCCCCACCTCATGTCGCCCTGAGCACCAGTGCAGGGCCACAACCTTGTCCCCATGTCCCCGGGGGGGGTGGCTCAGAAAAGGCCTCCCCAGCTGGCTAGTGGGGAAGGGCCTGGGCCCAGCCCTGCTCGGGAAGCCCCCACAGATGCCTCCGCTAGGCCTGGGGCAAGTGGGAGGCCTTGGGAGAGCCCACCGTGGCTCCTCTGCTCTTGGGGCCCCTGCCCTGCCCTCCTCCCGGAAAGTGCCCGGACGATGCTTGCGCAGTCCAGCCCGGCGGGGGATCCAGCAGCCAGGCCGATTCCCACCCTCGGAGCTCAGCTGCCTTTCCTGTGAA